CTTCCTGAATCCTCCCCGAAGAGATGCCACCGCCGGACCTCCGTGACGGGGCATCTCTGCAGCCAGTGCTCCATATCTTGGGGTTCCTCGCTGTACAATGGACAGATTGGGTCCAATGTTTTGTCTATTCTATTTTTGTAGGCCCGCAGCCCAGAGAAGTGACCGGTCCTGATTTTTGCCAGTAATGACTGGTCACTGCGGGACTTAATAAGAGCCTCTCGTTTTAAGGAAATTGCCCTGTATATTTCCTTCGTCCGCGTGTGGGATATCGGGGGGTCTTTTGTAATGAGTTTTATCTGGGCGCACGCACTTTCATAGTAATTTGGCGGCCTGGACCCGGCAGCGCTGTTGCCACTTTGGCATTACTGTCAGCGAGATCGTTGCCGAAGATATCGCAGTGACCAGGGATCCACTGAATCATGGGTTGAGGTGTTGCATTATTTATGCGTAGTCGCATTTGGTCGAGGGATGGTGATGTTCCCCCTAGTGCCATGCATAGCGATTGACTGTCGGTGAAGATAGCGACCGAGTTGGATGCATCGCACTCTTTGTCAATCCAGTCAATGGCCATTTCCAAGGCTCTCCTCCCTTCCTCGAAAGAGCACGTGGATATGGCGCCTTTCTCCACTAACGTCTCGACAACAGTAGGGTTGGACGGGTCCCCCGTTGTGATGAGGACCCCGGTGCCGCCGTCCGTTGTTCCTGCACTAGCCGAACCGTCAGTCTAGATATTGTACTGTGTGCTTTGAATCTTCCCACTGGAGTCACTCCTTCAGCTTATGCCGTACAGGTGAGGGAAAGCGATGTCGGGGTTGATTCTCCGTTCCCAGGGCCTGGTTTCGAAGTTAGTATTGGGCCTCCTCTCGCAGTTGAGCAAATGTGGGCTCTTTTTGCTGACGTCTTCGGCCCTTTTTCGGAAATCTCTGCGCCCCCTTAGGCGTCTGTGCACTTGTTCCGTTTCCGCAATTCGTCGAGGGTGGTTGTTGTTCATTCGCAGGGCCTTCTCTCTTGATCGGGGACAGTTAGCATTTATGGTGGACTGAATGCTTGGGACCCCCGTTTCACCTCGAAGTGCCTCGATCGGTGAGGACTGGGCTTGGGTGGTGATCAGTCGCAGACATCTGTTTTGAACAACCTCCAGGTTATTTATCAGAGTTTTGCTCAGCCACGGTTGCCAGCTGCAGCTCGCAAAGTCGAGGACACTTTGTATATGGGTGAGGTAGACCTTGCGTAGGTCGTCTTTCCTCCAGCCCCGTTTTGAGTGCGCGACAGTGCCGAGCATCCTCATCTTTTGTGTGGCCTTAGCTATTACAGTCTCAACCTGTTTCCTGAACGTGAGCCTGCGGTCGAGTGTGACTCCCAGGAGTCTTGCGTAGGGCTCATACTTAATTGTCGAATTATTGATCGTGATGCGTGGCTTCCATTCCTGGTCAGATGTTGCGAGCGTGAAGAATGTAGTCTCGCTCTTCGAGCCGTTTAGCGTGAGTTTCCATCGCCTGCTCCAGTCAGCAACGATGTCCACCGTTCTTGGTGCCAGACTTTCGGCGTCTCGTGTCGTGCGTGATGAAGCAAGGATAGAGACGTCGTCAGCCTAGAGTGAAATTGTGAGATCATCCGCTAGTAGTTTCGCCAGTTCGTCGATATAAAACAGGAAGAGGATGGGTGTCAGGGCGGAACCCTGTGGGAGGCATTGGCTCATTTTCCTGCTATTACTCAGCATTCCTTTAAATCGGACTCAGGCTTGACGATTTTGAAGGAAGTCATTCAGCCAGAAAACGTATGTATCTGAGATACCTCTGTCTAGGAGGGTGTGGAGTAGGCGTTCTCGCCAGACTGTATCGTATGCCTTTGAAAAAATCGAGGAGGACGAGTACCGGTTGCTCCTTCTTTTGGAAGCCATCGGAAATCTTCTGCGTAATTCTCAGAATTTGGTCTTCCACACCTCTTCCCTTCCTGAAACCAGTCTGCTGTTCGAAGAACCAGCCGTTCCGCTTGGCCATGTCGTACTGTCGTCCAGATACCATTCTCTCCATAACTTTGATGACACAGGATGTGAGGCTTATCGGTCTAAAGCGACGTTAGTTCCAATGCTGGTTTGGCGGTCTTAATAAAGAGGGGGACAATGGTGGCGTCTTTCCAGACTTGTGAGACATCTGCTGAGCGAAATGACATGTTGAAGATGGAGAACAGTTTCTCCAGCGCTTTGGGACCAAGGTTTTTTAGGAAGGACGGAGGGATGTTGTCTGGTCCGGGAGATCCGCGGGGCTTCATCTTTGCAATGGCATTCTTCAGTTCTCCGATAGTGAAATCGGACTGGTCTGCCCTTGGGTTGTTCCGTAAGTATTTCAGTCGCTGTTTGAGTTGCCAGTTTTCGGCTCTGTCTTCTTTCGACATGTTTAGAAGGCAGACGTTCGCGTAGTAGTCTGCGAATAATAACATGTCCGCCTTATGCTTGCTTGATGTCACCAATCGCCCATTGTGTGACATTGCTTCATTTTGGCGAGTTTGTCTCAGGGGTACCGTTGAGGCTTTTTATGATTTTCCACATCTTTGTGTCGTCCTGTGAGTTGGTGGTTTTCTCGAGCAGTTTTCGCCAGGCATCGGTCTT